ACATGTATAGTCTTCTTAAGAGCCACATATACAGATTTTCAAAAAACAAGATGGCGGCTGAGCCGTCGGCCATTTTGTTGCGATCAAAAAATTTCTAAACTTTGACAGCAAACTTCCGGTAGATGGCGACACCGGANAAATTCATGTCTCCGATCCTGTGTTTATGATGATGATTAACTATAGTAACCCTAGCTCGCGGGACTGAGAGAGTAGGTTGTCTGTGTGGTTTTGGTCTTAAATTATAAGTGGTTCGTGCCTCAATGGGACCCGGTTTATTAAAGGGCCCCACACGTTGGGACGCCAGATTGTAAGAGGGGAACCTAACCTACAGAGAGAAATGACCAAAACCAATTTTATAGNATTTATAAGACGTTTTTCATCAGTTTGGTTTGTTAGTAGTTTCAGCGGGTCAATGATAGGTTTAAATATCGTGTCCAAAGCCATATCATTTGAATTTTTTACATCTTTTATCATTTCTACTTTTCTTTTTACAGCTGCAGCAGATTTTACTATTTGTTCCTTTAAGTTTCGTTCCATTATTAAGATTCCTGCTCTGTTTGACTTCTCCAATTAAACTGAATGTTTGATAACTTAACATCTATACTTATAAAAAGTTTAGTCCATTACTATGAATGTATCAAACTTCATTCGATAACAGCCTTTGTTTCGTTCACAATCTTTATTGATAACCACATAACTGTAAGGTTTACTCCATACAGTTGAGCACATTTCACGAAACTGTGACCATGACATGTCAGACCCAACATGTTCGTCGTAAACGTGTCTTAGATTTATATCATCTTGCTTAAACAATATGATAAGATTTGCATTATCTCTTACCAGTTGCTTAGGNCCAAATGGAACTGAGTTTTCCATACAAATTGTATGCAGGGGGGCTTGGTTAACGTAGAAAAAGGCGAGGCCGAAGGCCGAGCGATAGTTTAAAGCCTGTGAGTCGCCATAGATTTATTTTTAATGCGTCAAAAAAGGACTAGAGCCCAGTGACAGACAGAAAGGCGAGGCCGAAGGCCGAGCGATGGTTCATATCCCGACAGTCGCCATCGATTTACTTGTGTTGCGTCAAAAAAGCAAAAGAGCCTTGCTCAGAGGTCAATTCTGTACATGAAATATATTTTCAAAATAACTATCAGGGGGTGATTATTGATCGATACTGATGCCAAAAATGCAATCAGTAAAATTTTTGTCTGTCTGTCTGTCTGTCTGTCTGTCTGTCTGTCTGTCTGTCTGTATGTTCCTTATAGAAACAAAAACTACTCGACGGATTTTAACGAAACTTGCTACAATTATTCTTCATACTCCTGGGCAGGTTATAGGATACTTAGGAATTCCCACGGGAACGGGAATCAGCGGGAAAATCCTTTTGTATGAAAAATCTAAACCGCTTAAGTTAGACGCTTGAAATTTGGCATTCAGGTACCTCAGTAAACTTAAAGCTTAGTTACAACAGAATATTGCAAAATTCCCACGGGAACGGGAGTTAGCGGGAAAAAACATTTGTATGAAAAATCTAAACCGCGTAAGATAGACGCTTGAAATTTGGCATGCAGGTACCTTAGTAAACTTAAAGCTTAGTTACAACAGGATATTGCAAAATTCCCACGGGAACGGGAGTTAGCGGGAAAAAACATTTGTATGAAAAAACCGCGTAAGATAGATGAAGGGGGGGTAAAACGAGATCCACGCGTACGAAGTCGCGGGCAGCCGCTAGTAAATAATATTACTAGGAAATAAAAAATGAACTGAGCAGTGCCACCCTGTTGCAACAGCGATGCCCATCTCAATGGGACTCCACTCAGCATATGCCGTGGCCTACGGTGGGGAAGGCCACGACGCTGGTTTTAGACTGTGGTGTAGAGACCTTATAAGTAACACGTGGATTGCCACATCAATTATTACAACCCACTCGATAAAAGTTAATGTAAAATAGGCTGTTCATTGTTTTAATAAAAACCTTTACAGACTTCGCAAAGTACACAACCCACAATGTTAATTTATTTGTTCAACGTTCATTCTATTGTTTTATAATTAATTGTAAAGCTTAACGAACAGCTAAACAAAAGAAAATTCGGAAGGAAAATAATTAACGAACTAAGTAATGTTTCATCAAATAATACCGACACGTGTGTATGGTTAACAGCAAGTCAGTTCATACACTTGTTAATGCAATATCACACCTATTAAAACTATAAACACAAACATTACTATGAGGTCTCACAGTGCGCGTGTACGCACAGGGTGACACACGAACCAATCACAGAGCTCTATTCAACGCTGTGCGTTCGATTTGCTGCTTCACTTAAGCATGCATCGTTTGTGAATACGGGCGAAGATGTAATATCAATGTGCACAACTTGATGGACCTAGCTTAATTATTCGGTAGAATATTGGGAAGGGCGTAGGTTTCCGACAGCAAATAAATGGCTTAGTTACAAAAGAATAAATCATTTAAATAGTAGCGTTTAATTTATTTATTGACTAGCTTTCCGCCCGCGGCTTCGCCCGCGTGGAATTTTGACTGTCACAGAAAAACTATATCGCGCGTGTCACTGTTTCAAAAACCGGGATAAAAACTATCCTATGTCCTTTCCCGAGACTCAAACTATCTCTATGCCAAATTTCATCAAAATCGGTTCAGTGATTTAGGCGCGAAAGCGAGACAGACAGACAGTTTTATGACCTTGCTTAGTTTGGGACTACAACGCTGTGTAGAATTTACTTAACATTCCTACTGCGAGCAAAACCGCGGGCAACAGCTAGTTACAAATATAGGAGAGCTGCAGATAAGCTATAAAGCTCCGTACATAAGACCTTTAAGTGAATGGCCTCGTAAATTGTGTGTTATTGCATTTCTAGAAGCCACGCACGATATTTTAAATAAACGACCCGCGAATGCTTCCTTGGATGGCTCCGAGAAATTGAATCGAATGGCGTGTACGCCGCCTTAAATACATGCTGTTCAATATACGTCACATACAGCCATAACGGTACCTACTTGTTGGCTGCAAATGGGTCTTGTGCGACGATTCTGACAGGAGATAAATTTTGCGGTTATGGCTATGGTAGACTATCTTCTGCCCGTGGCTTCGCCGGTGTGGATTTGGGTATATTACGTAAAGAATTAAAAGTCATAAACACGTAGGATTAGCAAGGGAGTGGGCAAGTCTTAACGTCAAATGATAAATTGCGGAAAGTTACTGTCAATGATGAGCTGGATGCGTCAAGTTGAAGATAGCGCAGTTGCGCGTATAGATTGATGATGATAATGACATTGAATAATGATAATAGGCTAGATAACAAAATTTCAATTACTTATTTGTCCGTCAGACAGATAATTAGAAAATATTAGACTCATATTTTTTATCAGTGCTACATCGAGTTGAAATGGCGCGATACGTCAAGCTTGAGTAGAATTTTTACTCAAAAGTGACGTCACGCGACGTTTCAACTCAATATAATACTGTAATTATTTGATTATGGAAAAAAATAATAATATGAGTCTAATATTTTCTAATTATCTGTCTGACGGACTAAATAGAATTTCGATTTCATTACCCAGTCATCATCCCTATTATGATAAATAGATTGAGTCACTAGCACTAGCTTGCTAAATAACTCGGCTGCTAAAAAGGTATAAGCCAAATAACAGATTACCGATGCGATGTTGTTTTGCTGTCAAATCATATCTATAACATCTAGATAAGTAAGATGCTTTTGTAGATTGGCAAGATCGTCTGTTTTCAATGTACGGTATTCAGTGCTCTAATGGTGCTCTTAGGCTGGAAATGGGCCTCATTTGACAATTTTGACGCGCTATAAATTATTCGGTGAAGAAACTTGCAAATTTGGTAGGTAATGTTTATCGTCTGTCAAACAAAAAGGTTGTTATTGAGTGAGTACATTGAAAGTTGTGAGAAATGAAGCCTGTGGCGTAAGATTGAAAACAGTGCTTTAAGCTCCATACTTTTTAGCGTCAAGTTAGGTAACCTACTTTTTTATTTACGACAAAAAACCTACATCAAATTTTGCATATAGGTAGCAAAAAAGTAGCTATAATCATTTAAGTTCGGGTATAAATCTACAACATTGTAACTGTAATGGAGTTATAAGTTTTGAGAGGAAAACAAGAGGGAAAACCCCATGATCCACATAAACTGAAACTAGTAAGTTTCCGTAAGTTTCCTGTCGAATTTGAGGATAATTTCTTGTTACAAGTTTTGCAGTAAGTTTGACTTGATCAAATATTTTGATAGTACAACGCTGGGAATATAATGAATAATACCAGTTGGTATTGTTGTTTTAAAAACTAATGATTAATCGACATAATATTTAGGTAATCAGGAGTAGCAGCGAGAACAGTGATGAAAAATACCTTCTTCTAAAACATTTAATGTAGGTAAGGAGATAAAGTTTATATTTAACGCCCGCTGCAGTGGGCATCATGTTCGTGAATGTGTACATATGTGAATGGGTGGGCACTACTGGGCACTGCTCAGATAACTCTTGTTTTTATTTTTTCTTTCATTATTATGTGCCACTGTCATGTATATGTAATTGCCTGTATTTGTGTGATGTCCATTATAATATATGTACCTTTCTTTCTAATAATTTTTACATTTATTTTCTTCAAGCTACACTAAACCCTTAGGTATTCTTCAAAACTATAGACCCTAACAGATCAGGTTATTCATGCTACAAACCCACGCAGTTTAATCATGTCGCGAACGAAATCCTCCACTCATCTTACACGCAATATCGCAAACGACTTTGACAAAGTTCTACTCAGTTTACGACTCGAAATTACGATTGCTGTATCAAACAAAAACGTTTACGACTCAACACGAATGCTAAAATGCTCACGTTTCCTTTGTTACAGGGTCCGCCAACGATAAATTCCATCGCCGAAACTCGTAAACCTGTCATTTTAAAGCCAAGAATAAATTGTTATCTTACATTGGAAGAAACCACCTGAATTGGAAGCAATGAACGAAACAGCACTAGATTACAGTTTCCTAGGCAATATCTCAGAGAAAATACGCAACGGGACGCCGAACAGTCTGCCCTCGCCGCAAACGACCGGCTACGAAAACATCATCGACAACAAAATAGTTCAAGCCTTGTTCTGTGTTATTTACACCATAATATTTGTTTTGGGGCTCGTCGGGAACCTTTTAGTATGCTTCGTCGTGATCAGAAACAAAGCCATGCAGACTGTCACGAATTTATTCATCAGCAATCTAGCGCTCTCTGATATTTTGCTATGCATTTTCGCAGTTCCTTTCACCCCACTTTACTCCTTCCGAGGTTCCTGGAGCTGGGGCTCACTACTATGTCACATAATGCCTTTCGCCCAAGGGTGCAGCGTATACATATCCACTTTAACTCTTATGTCTATTGCTATCGATAGGTTTTTTGTAATCATTTACCCTTTTCGACCGAGGATGAAGATTGAGACGTGTATTACAGTTATTATAATGATATGGACATTCTCAGTCACCGTGACGATGCCGTACGCGATTTTCATGACGTATTATGATTTGGACATCGGGAGATTCTGCGAAGAAACATGGCCGACTGAGAAGCTGCGTCGTATCTTTGGATCTGTCACCTCCTGCCTACAGTTCGTCTTACCGTTCATAGTTATAGCCGTCTGCTACACGTGCGTCAGTTTCAAATTGAACGACAGAGCTAAGGCAAAAGCAGCTAGCAAAAATTCTAGGAAGGAAGAATTGGATAAGAATAGAAAGCGACGGACCAATCAAATGCTGATCGCTATGGTTACCATATTCGGTCTTTCGTGGTTGCCTCTGAACGTGATCAACTTGTGCAATGACTATTACATCTATGCTATCCACTTGAAGTATTATTTCTTGATTTTCTTCATCGGGCATATAATAGCAATGTCTTCGACATGCTATAACCCTTTCATCTACGCTTGGATGAATGAGAACTTTCGGAAGGAATTTAAGCAGTTGATTCCGTGTATAGATACATCAGCACAGTTGAGAGGGAATATTCAGCTAGAGCAGTTGGGGGTAGGGCAGGGTGAGAAGACCTTCAATGGGAACACGACGACTGACAGTTTTCTGTCAAGTTCACAAAGAGCGACGTCATTCCGGCATAAGAGGAAGCCGAGTGCTGCTGCAGACGTGGAGAAGAGTGGAGTGGAGCTGAACGAGGATTTGCTGACGGTTGATGTAAAGCACTGTCACATATCCACCAGTTACAACCTGAGGAGGGAGTCCGTGAAACTGCGCCTGATCAATGAGGAGTCATTCGACGGGACGCCGACGCAAAGTCAATTCTAACGGTTGGTCTCATGGGTAAGTGTTTGCTAATGTGCTTCAGTTTTATTAAGCCTAATATCGAATTGCAAAGAGCACTTATCCATATTTATCTAATGGTTTCGTGAACCTTGTGAAAGATGCCAGATTTTTTCTTGCCCTACTCCTATAAAAAAAACTCGTTTTCGAAATTATCTACCAGTAAATCAAATTTAAAATCCATTAGGTTGACCACCACAATATTAAGTGGAATCATAAAACTTTGTTCACACAACATTCTTTGTTCACAGGTACGCCATTGGAGGCGTTCCCAACTTTGAGAATAATAAGCTAGAGTAAGAGTATCCAGTATTTTTGGAGGCAATTTATTTTGTACTGAAATACTTCTTTATTAATAATGCACAATTGACTACTGAACTAAATGACGCTTAAACGATTACTAACCCTTAGATAAGATTTATCACGAACTTATGTCCGACTCTACAATATGTGATTTTAGCACAAGTTTATTATTTTAGAACCATTCCGACCACTGCCACATAGTCCTTAGGATTAGGATACCCAAATATATTGTTATACCATCAATTCACTGTAGAATTAATTCATAAAATCCTTCTGGATATATTACATAAGCATTCAAAAGGATTCGCTTATTGAATGAGACCCATTTGCGAACCCATTCTCGGTGAGTTTACGAACAGTCCTTTTTGCACAAACATTCGCACAATGGACAAATGTTTGTACAAAGGCTAGGTCAGGTTTAGGACACTTACACAAACCTGCAGGTTTTCTTTTATTATTGGTTAAAGGTAACAGAACTGAATATAAAACGAGTAGGTAGTACTTACCTACATAAAACTTTGTCTTAGGCCCAGAACAGACGGTGAAACGCAACTGCAACGAAACTGCAACATTCTGATGATTCTGATGAATGAAACTGAAACTGAAAGTTGGATGCAACTCAAAAGTAACTAGCAGTTGCAGTTTCGTTGCAGTTGCGTTTCACCGTCTGTTCTGGGCCTTATTGGTTGAAGTCTGAAGTTGACATGATTGTGTTTATAAGGTAAATTATATTGAATTGATGGTATGACTCCAAAGTCAGTTTGAATGCCATCACACACATTCGTTTATGTCGAGTTGTTTATTTCTTAAAAATGAGAGAGATAATTATGATAATATTATTATGATTATGATTGAAATTTATGATCCTATGATAATCTTTTTAACGATCGGTTACGACAAAAACCTAAGTGTGTGACCAGGCTTTTCCTATCAATAATTAACACTAAGCCTTAGATTTTTGATACCTTAATCATCGTCCCTAGTAATTTTAATACGTCATTGTAAATGATCTGTAAGGAGATTTTAATTCAAAAGCTCTTAGTTGCCTTCAACTTTGTTATGAAATTTAATTATATTGATTCCTAAATCTTATGAATTTTCAATTGCATAGTTTATATTCTATTCTATGGAAATTATTAGAATAGTCGAGTATTTCAAATATTCATCGATGGAAAATAAGTGTGAGATTTATATAAACTGTGTATGTACAGCCGCGGAATGAAAAGGTTCGTCAGTTTTCAAATAGATTCCTTCAACGAATCGCGAGCACATATTACCTTTTGAAACTATGTTACAGAATAATCTCGAGTTAGAGAAAATAATCTTTAACTGTTCGTCAGTAAAGTTCAAAATTATTCAGATCAAAGTCGATTTATCTTGTCAAGAAGATTATTATGATTGATAAACTAAATAAAACCTTCTTGCGGGTTCAACCTGCCATTGTTATTTCTATTAAAAAAAACTACATTTTGTAACATTGCACTGATGGGATAGAAAAATAAACAATCAAAACCTTATTCGTTAGCAAACGTCATATTTATTTAAATGTTAGCAGCTCTGTTTCTTGCACTGTTATGTTGGCAAGTTTGACTCTTACAGTACCTAGTGCAAGCGAAAACCGACACTAAGGTGACGAACCTTTTTATTCTGCGACTGTACATTATTGTTTGTAAACTGTAAAAATGTATGTATGTTTAGGGAAATGATACAGATGAATGATTTTACTAAGTACTGTAGGTATAGATTATATGATTTGTTAATTAGTGAGTGAGTCAATCAGATAAACAGGGGGTTTATTGTGCGTGTTACTTTTTATTTAGGAGTTGAGAAATATGTATGTGATGGATGCTTTTAATTCGAACTACAGGCATGACGCATAACAATTGAGAGTGGATTCCAGCGGTACTGAAGAGATTTGGGACACCCCGTTTCTGTTATGTCAAATACTATAAGACTTTAGGGTGAACATACATAGATTAAGGCATTTACTTGTAACAGAACAACGAGCCGCTCTATAAAATATTCTTGTGATCACCGTTTCACGAACCAAATGTCGTACATTTTTCCTGTATTGTACCATTCGTAAGAACGTACATTACATAGAAATGCTCTAGTCCAGTGTTTTTCAACCTTTTTCATGAAAAAGTTATTGGCGACCCCCCGACCACAACCCCGACCTTTCGCTTTTTTCTATCCATTTTATTATGTTACAAAGATGTTGTAGGGACCGAATACTTCAATATTTTAAACTATTATGTTGCATTTTTTTACGAATTTATGAAATTACGAATACTTCAATCCATACAACATTTATGCATTTGCTTAATAAGATTTCGGACAAATCTATCTTAAAACTTCACTGTTTTTTTTTACTGAGGTAGTTTTTCGACCTCTCGCGACCCCCCCGGGGGTCGCGACCCACAGGTTGAAAAACACTGCTCTAATCTATACTCACCTTTAAACTTGTATACCATGACAGCTCTATTACGTCACCATCATCGCGCTACTTTTCTACCTTTTCAGTTGTGCGTTATGGCTGTAGGTTCGGTAGATAGATGGCGTTGTAGGTATGTGTTCTAGCTCCATGTATGCTATGCCATGAGGCGACATGTTACCAGTATACACTATATCACGCTTAGTGGCTCTAGCTTTATAGCAGCTATACCTAGCCACAATTTAGACGAAATACTAACGCCCGTATTCATAAACGATGCTTGCTTAAATGAAGCAGCAAATCGAACGCACAGCGTTGAATAGAGCCCTGTGATTGTGTGACCCTGTGCGTCCACGCGTACTGTGAGACCTCATAGTAATGTTTGTGAATACTGGCTTTAATTATTGTCAAGGAAAGTTTTAACTAAATACGACTAATTGTGGTACAACAACGTTACTTTGATCATTGAAGACGCCACTGGAGTCTATTACGTCTAAATTGTTGCTAGACGAGTAACATAATTATTTTAATTATAAGCTGTACAAACAAAGAATAAGTAACAAAAGAATCATCCAAACAAAGCATTTTTTTCTACGTACTTTTTGCAAATAATACAAATTTTCTATGTTTATATGCCGATTTTGCAAAAACTAAACGCATTCGTACAGAAATATATTAATTACTAATTTTTAAGAAAGGCTATGAGGACTTATTTAACAAACCCATCATAATAGTAGATTGGACATTTTGGGAATTGGACGTTTCGGGAACTGGACATTTCAGGAATTGGACATTTCGGGAATTGGACATTTCGGGAATTGGACATTTTGGGAATTGGACATTCCGGGAATTGGACATTTTGAAACCGTTGGACATTTTGGGAATTGGACATTCTGAACCTGAAGGCAATTACCTTCTTGTGTGTTAGATTGTAAATCATGAAATAATTAAAGATATTGTAACACATAACGACATTCAACACGATTATAAAACTTTTCGGAGAACTAAGGGCAATGTACAAAATAGCAATACCTACCATAGAAATACTTTATTATGACTTACGGGTATTTAAAGCACTAATTAGTTATTTTTATAAAGCACAATAACTTACTAAAGCAGTAGAAGTTTTATACAGTAATAAGGTGTGTTGTGAAGAGCACTATAAAGCTTAGAATAGACAGTTTAATACCTTACCTTAGCTCATGCAGCTATTAGAACTATGCAAATTAAAATATGGCTAGTAAATCAATAAATAAATCTTTATTGGCAACAAAAACACTTACAGGCACAAACATTGTTGCATTAGCAACTGCATTAGTCAAGGACTGTGTTGCAGTTGCTAGCGCCCACCTCATACAGGCTGACATTGCAGACTTAAAAGTATTTATGTTTTAATATCTGGAATTTTGGGTTCCAGGTGAGTTTTGTCTAATATTTAGGCAAAATATTATGGCATTTGTCACCAACCCCTACTCTTCCCGCGGGTGTCGTAAGAGGCGACTTAGGGACTACACATCAAACAGAGAATGGGCAGCAGCGCTCTCTGAAAAACATCAATCTTTTAAACTGCGATCTCCAACCCGCCTGCCTAGCGTGGAGATTATGGCAAAACCCTGCACTATAGTGGAGGAGGCTCATAGTCCAGCAGTGGACTGTAAAGGGCTGTTGATGATGATGATGATGATGATTATGGTATTAATCAAAATAATAAAAGAGCTGCTATTACATTGCAGTGTAAACCTGGCTATAAAAAGTTATTACAGTTATATGAGCTAAGTAAGCTAGTAGCTCGCAGTGCGTCCGATAACTTCAGGCAAATTTCGACATAATTATGTACTAAATAAAGTGTCAAATTCAATGTGAGTCAATACTGAGCAATACGTTTACTAAAAAGGTAGAAAATGTTAGTTATTACGGTTTCATTAGTGTGTACTACTTTTTATGTGGTCTTGGATACGAATCAGTATGCTGAATGATAAAAAAAATCAGAAACAAAATTCACGCAGCATGCTGATTCGCATCGTAATACACATAATTACTATACTTTAAATTAATGGTAAATCTAGAAGATGCACATTTTGTAGAATGTTTTTAAAAGGAATTTTCACACTTTTTAATACCTATAGCGTGTTACAATAATTTGTGAAAGAAGACCATGAAATTGTAATATTTGACCGTAATTATAAGTGTCTTGTTATTTTCTTCATGCCTTCATAATTGGTTGTTAAAATACGTTTATCCGACTACG